GACCACTGTCCAGTTTGCCTACCTGTGCCCGGCACTCATCTACCAGCTGGACAGCGACGTCTGCCAGCACCACCGCCACCACACAGGCGACCCCCACGACCACGGCACAGACGACCACCACGCGGAGGGGGAGGCGGCCGTGTCTCCGACCTTTGACCTCGCTGCCATCCCAGCCAAAGGTGGGCAGCATACTGAGAGTGGTGACTGGTTGTCTGTTTGTCTGTCTGTCTGGTCGCTGTCGTTTTCTCTCTCCATGTCTCTATCTCTTTCTCTATCTCTCTCTCCCTCCCTCCCTCCCTCTCTCTCTCTCTCTCTCTTTCTCTCTCTCTCTCTCTCTCTCTCTCTCTCTCTCTCTCTCTCTCTCCCTCTCTCTCTCTCATTATCTGTCTACCTGATATCCAGTCTGGCTCCCTGTCCGCATTTCGTTCAATCTGTGTTGTAAATGTGTTCTCTCCAAACGTCCGCCACCCCTCAATCTTTCTCTTTCTCTCTCTCTCTCTCTCTCTCTCTCTCTCTCTCTCTCTCTCTCTTTCTCACACACACATACACACACACACACTCACACAATCACACACACACACATACACACACACACTCACATTCACAACAGACAGGAATCTGTTACCTGACCTAGAAAGTGACAAAGTGTTTGGTCTAAGATATGACAGTATGTGCGTGTGACTGTATGTCTGTGTGACAGTGTGAGTGTGTGTTGGTGTGAGTCAGTTGGCCCGTGTGACATCAGAGCCAGTGACGTAGAGCACTTAGTGAGCGAGTGGCTCAAGTGGAAGTGCTCACCCCGTCCTGGCACGACCCGTCCACCTCTTGACCCACCAGAAACCTGGCATGTGTCTGTGTGGTCGTAGGTAGAGATATTGTGGTAGTAGGAAGGCTGTCCACACAAAATGGGTCATCTCAACTCTTCAAACTTTGGGCTTTTTTGGTGGTTATTTTTTTCTTTTTCATTTAGGTCATGAGTTACTATAATGAGAAAAAAGTCAGGAGTGGGATCTTTTAATTTGTTCTGCTTGGAATAGTTTGTCAGAGAGTACGCTATTAGCCCATAGCTTTATACAATATCAAATCAGTTCTTTTCTGATTGCTCAAGCACTCGGTTGTGATTCCAAACTAATTTTTATAAAATACTTCCTGACATATTTCTACAACTTTACCGAAAGTGAAGTCTACAGGTCAATTCTAAATATAACAACTAATGAGAATTTTATTCAAATCACTGTTTGTTCACCCTCCCCCCCTTCCCCTCCCTTTACCCTCCTCTCTCCCCTCCTTCCTCAACCTCCTCCTTCTTCCACCCTCCCCCACTTCTCCTCTCTTCTCTCCTATCGAACATCTATCGTCCTGATTTCTTCTTCTTCTTTCTTTGTGTTTGTTACGCTCTCATAACACCTCTGATCTTTGGCACTTATATATGAACTTATTGTGTTGCAGTAACACTCCTACTAAAACTAAACCTCTGCCCCCCCCCCCCCCCCCCCCCCTCTCTCTGTGTTGCTGCGGCGGCCGTGTTCAGTGTGGGGTTTCAGCTGTGTTGCGGTGCTCATCATCAGCCTGGTGGGTCTGCTGGGCGTGGCCGTCATCCCCATCATGCAGAAAGTTTTCTACAACCACATGCTGCAGTTCCTGGTGGCCCTAGCTGTGGGGGCGCTGGCCGGCGACGCTCTGCTGCATCTACTGCCTCATGTGAGGGTTATTGTGGGGGTACATGTGGGGGGGACGCTCTGCTGCATCTACTGCCTCATGTGAGGGTTATTGTGGGGGTGTGTGTGTGGGGGATGCTCTGCTGCATCTACTGCCTCATGTGAGGGTTATTGTGGGGCTGTATGTGTGGTGTATGTTGGGGTGCATCTACATGTGTTAATTGTGTGTTTGTGAGTGAATGTGGTGTGTGGTACGGTTTGGTACATCGGGGTATGCGTCTACATATCTGTAAATTACATGTGTGTGTGTGTGTGTGTGTTAGGTGATATGGTATGGTATTTGGGGGTGTGTGTCTGCGTGGTTTATGTGCTTTAGCACCTACATTCATACCATGATTTTGTGTGTGTGTGTTGGATGTATGTGGGTGTGTGTCTACATTTATTAATTGTTTGTGTGTGTGAGTGAATGTGTTGTATGGTGTGATATTTTAGGATGTGCGTCTACCTATCTGTAAATTGTGTGTGTTTATTTGGGTTGGCCAACTATCTGTGTGTTTCCCCTGTACAGTCCATCATGGCGTCGTCGGGTCACTCCCACTCTCATGGGGACAAGGGTGGAGGGGACGACCACTCGACCGCCGCCTGGAAGGGACTGTCGGCCCTCGGGGGAATCCTCTTCTTCTTCATCACCGAGAGGCTGCTCACCATCTACACCATCATCAAGAGGAACAGGAAGTCCAATGTGAGGGTTGTGTGTGAGGGTGTGGGTGCTTGTATGTGGGTGGGTATGTGTGTGTGTCAGTCTTTGGGTGAATGTTTGTTTGAGATTGAGATATTCCCCACCATTGTTCACCCTATCCCCCACCATTGCTCACCCTATTCCCCACCATTGTTCACCCTATTTCCCCACCATTGTTCACCCTATTCCCCACCATTGCTCACCCTATTCCCCACCATTGCTCACCCTATTCCCCACCATTGTTCACCCTATTCCCCACCATTGTTCACCCTATTCCCCACCATTGCTCACCCTATTCCCCACCATTGCTCACCCTATTCCCCACCATTGTTCACCCTATTCCC